GATGGAATACCTTACTCCAGAGCATGTTCCCAACGCGCCCTAGGTTGGGTCCCCTTTCACCACCTCTGGGCGGCATCCAGCAGTGGTCTGGTTAATGGGTGCAATCAAAGGCAATCCTGAAAGTGGGCATGTGACCCTGGTCACCGCAGACTTGTTTTGTGCTCCAATCCACAATTGTATGCACAAAGATCCCTGTAACTAACTGGCATGATTCCAAAGTAAACAGCTTGAGTGACGGCCTCCGCAGTTTCCTGCCGGAGGAGCAAGCTAAATACTACACTAATCCCCACAGTCCAAAAGTCCTTAATCAGTATTCAAAGACCTCTGCTGACAATGTGCGCAAGTAGGCAGGATGAAGACAGGATCAAGCTCATCTGTGATACGCTCTACATTTGAACAACTGATGAAACTTCATCAATTTCATTAAGATTCAACAATTTCAGGAGAGACGAAAAAAAATTGCAAAAAAAATCACGCTTCTTAGTCAAAAATGTAGCTACTCAACTCATGTCAAATGATCCCATATCCTACCCTGAATACTGGGACCTCGGATCAAAGATCATTTCTAACTCCGCTTTCTGTTCCCTGACCCGCAGAAGCCTTAGTCCCTTGTGAAGATTGACTGGTATCCCCTGCCACACTGGGGTCAAAGGAAACTCATACTTTATGTAGTAGGCTGGTAATTTGATATCATCTGACATATGAATGGAGTCAGGGCAGAGGGAAGTGTAAATATTGGGCACTCATTATCTCTCATCAACTGGCGGAACTGAATGTGAACTCACTCTGGGCCCTGAACATAGCCCACAGCACTTTCAGATTCAGTTTCCTGGCAATGACAGTCCTAAGATGACAGCAAAAATAAATGTCCTTTGTGTCCATGGTAGCACATACCACAAACAAAGGTGCTTCCGACAGCAGCATCTGGAAAGTCAACGGTTACCCAGCAATTGCAAGTTGGACTGGATTGCTGTGGAAACCACTCCGTGATATAAATAGAGAGTTTCGCTGGAATGGAGGTGGCAGCAGGTAGTGTAGAACTACTTCAGGATGTGGTTCTCCAATACAAAATGAGAATTAGACACTACTAACGCTACACACCAGAAAGTCACAAGTTTGGGTTCCAGTCGGTGCTGCCAGTTGACCTCAACTGGTGCACTATTTGACTTGAGCTCAATGTCTACATCTAGGCTGACACTCCAGTGCAGAACTGGGGGAGCATCTTTCAGATGAGATACTAAACCCAAGGTCTTCTCTGCCTGTTCTTTTAAGGTGGGTGTTAAAGATCCCCTATTCAGAAAGAGAAGAGATTTTCTCCTAGTAACTACAAATGGGTTTCACTGCCCTGGTTAATTGGAAGGAAAAATAAGTTAGACAGTGATCACTATCCAGGTAGCCTTGCTGGAAATGCCTTGTGCATGAATGTCAGAAAACAAGAGAATCAGGGTCACAATCAGACTCACTGTTGGGGAAATACATGACCAATGATCATTTGGGGAAAGTCGCAGGGAGTTGCCTGTGAACCCACGATCAGCAAGAGGCAGATCCTTCAGCAGAGGAGCAGAAGGAAGGGAGATGAAAGAGACTGCACAAAACTATTATGTTCTTCAGTTCAGAATTCAGCTGTCATTCACAATTTGCCTTCAGTCAGTTTAAGGTCCAAGCATTTTCCAATCCATTACAACTATTTTTTTCCAAACGTCCTAATAACTTTAAACCAATGGTTTGTACATAAAATAATGAATGAATGCAAGATACTGGTACAGACTTGCACCAGCCCTCCCTCCACTTTGAAGCACCTGAGATAGATCTCAGGGTTACCATGAGTTGGCTGTGATGTGTGCTGGTTACCAGCAGGATTCCCAATTATTGATTGAGTGGCAATTAGTGGATCCATTGCAGAATTTTAATCCCTTTTACAAGTGAGAAACAAACTTTAAAAACCGCTCTGATCATTTTTTGGGGGATATTTTCTTTTAAAAAGCCTTTATCTTACCATAGTTTTTGAATTGAAGAAATAATAAAATAATACAGGGACACGCTCTCTCAGGTGGTTCTTCCGATGCCTCAGTTAGTAAGTGTACAGAACACGAGGGACCCAGGTCTGATTCCTGGTCATTGCTGAGTGAATAGTTCTCGTGTGGTCAACAACGTTGTCCACATTCCCAGGTTAGGGAGGCAACACATTTGAGTGATACATATCCAAAGTACAGCTAAATGTACTTTGCATGCACACATGCAAAATGACATATTCATTTGTGGGCTCAGACACTGGGGCCAATTTAGCCAAACAGAGAGTTTCCAGCGCCTATCAGATTAAACCTCAGTCGGTTCCCTCTAGCCATGAGATAAGCAGGGGAACTCTGTTATAGGGGGCTTTGATAGAGTTCCATCTCATTTATAGCACGGGTCTATTGTGAACCTACAATATCAGAAACACCATACACGTGGCTTCTGGCGGTAAATACATGGCTGACTCGCTGAATGTCAGATCACCACTTCGTCTCGCTTCGTGAAGGATGAGCCATCAGCAGTGCTTCCTGTGCGTAATCTGCCATGAGCCGGAAGTGACATCGGCAGCAACCTGACCACCTAGAAGTCGGTCATTTTTCACACATCCACTCCTAACCCAGCGGCCGAGAGATTGGACGGTCAGCCGCACCAGAATGAGGTTTACCTGAACCCAATGGTATGGAAACAGTTAAATGTAAATGGCGCACACACACGAAGATGCTATTAATAATGTGTAATTTTGCATAAAAGTACCGCAAGATACAATATGTCAGACTGTGACAATTACATCACTCTTTGTTAAATGTACCACACCCAATAAAGGACTTTAGGGGTTTAGAAGGTTGGGGACAACTACTACATCTATAAACACACTGGTGTTGAATACTTAGTGATTCATACCCGGAGTCCCTAATTGAGGCTCTCGAATAAAAGACTCCTGATTATCTGCAGAAGTCTATCACCCCGGCCCGTAGGAACTCTGGCCCAATGCAATTTCCTTCCAGTTACCAGAGTTCCTCTGGATCAGTTGGATGGAATGCAGTTATCAGCAGACATTACTATTTGCAACACAGCAATAGTAACTTCTAAGTTGCTTTGAAAGGACAACATTGTTCCCAGATACCCGAGTGGGTAAATCATTGCCTGATGAGGCACTAAACCATACAGGCCAAAAGGTCATAGGTTCATTTCCCAAATTGCGCTGTGATAGCTCACGTCACCCAGGCAGCAGTTGAGATATTCCGATTGGTTTAGTGCTGCTGGACTAGGGAGAGGAACATTGAAGAGACCCTGTTGATGATCCAGTTATCTCTGCTGGAAAGATGAGGGTAGGATTTGGGTCAGCTGAGAAGCCCCCACAGTTGTAATGCTTACTAACACACATTATCCAGGTTTAACCCAGAGGCATTTGCCTACAAAATACACAGTTACTACACTTTATAGTAAACCCTGTGAAGCACTTTGAGATGTGCTCCGGTTGCAAATGGCGCTATATCAAAATGTACGGATTCATTAATTTTATTTATGATTATCATCATTATTCGTTTAAATAGTTGCTGTATTTACACTTTATATTCTTTTTCTCAATAATAAAAAAAAGTCCACAAATCCACCGGCTACACATGATGAGCCTAAATATAAGTGGTGCAGAGTATGAGGGTTTCTAGTTTAACCCTAAAATCCTCCCCATTTAGACCAGCAGATAATCAAGGATGATTTCTCCTAGTGCGGTATGCACAGGGACGGAAGAGTTAAACTAAGCCCTTCCTTATTTTATTCCAGCAGTAAATCTTCCCTCCACTTTCTATTTTAAGATGGGAGGTGTGATTGCGAGTCTTTTCACGAATCCCAGGTAGCAAAGTTACACTGACAAGATATTCGCTGTGGCACACAAAACTAAAACAGAAAAGGTTATGTAAATCGCCACAAATGTGGGGAGACTGTTTTCTGTTTAACCCCTTCCAACCCTTCTGGGTCAATACGAGTTTTAATCAAATTAGACCCATTGTTTTCAGTGAATGAGGCTCATGTCAAATCTATAAAGGAACTGATGGTGATTCCTGCCCCTTCCAGGGCAGAGAGTGATTCAGTGGCTGAATTTGACAGAAAGTGGCACATCACAAGTAGTTATTTCTTGGGGTTTACGGCACTCCTTCACACTCATGTTAGCAGGTCCAGTAATGAGTGTACAGTGTTAATGAGAGGGCAGCGATTGTACAAATGGTGCGTAACCTTTACTGATGCATTAGGCTGGGAGTTTAAGTCACTAAACTTAAAAATAATAATAATAATAATAATCTTTGCATTTGATATAGCGCTTTTCACGTCGGGAGGACGTCCCAAAGCGCTTCACAGAACACACTGTAAAGTGAATTGACTGTATATTTGTGGGCGAACGCGGCAGCCAATTGCGCACAGCAATGTCCCACAAACAGTCGTAGATTGAAAATGACCAATTTATTATTGTTTTGTTTTGGAGGGATTATTATTAGGCTCTGTGTGGAGTAAGGAAACTTGCCCAAGGTTTCGCCCTCTGCCTGGAATTGAACCCAGGTGTCTCGCTTGCAAAGCGAGCGCTCTAACCACTGAACTACAGGACTCCACAAACTTGACTGTTTGCTGAAGTGAAGCTTTGAAATACCAGAGATCACACACAGTAAAGACGCACTTAAAAAAAGGATCTCCATAACAAGTAAATCTGTGAAACATAGACAAAATATGGCTTCTGGCCAGAGCTGCCTCTTGGAGGGAAATGTACAGCTGAGCAAGCAGTCAGTGGTTTTCTATATTTCACTACCAGCTGCTGTAAATTGAAATTGAGCCATGTGCTTATTCTATTCATTAGAAAGAAGTTCAAATCCTTTTTTCCCCCCCGCTCCCTCCAAAAACTTTTTTTTCAAAAAAAAAGTCATCTCTGCCAACAACACTCATATTAAAAATCCACTCCGGACATTTCGAAACATAATAGTGTATATAAGTTGACTTACTCGGTCAGCTTTGGGCTTGGCTTGAGGATTCTTGAAAAAGGAGGTTCTGGCAGTGAAAAAGATCTCCTCGGAGTCCTCTTCTAAACTGCTGTAGCCACTGCTCATAGTGCTGTTCCACGTCATCTGCAAAAGGCCTCCCTCCCTCACTCGCTCGCTCGCTCGCTCACTTACTCACTCCAGCCAGCACCCCCACGTAAAGCAACAGAGTCAACTTAAATGTGCTAAGACCGCGAAAGCGTGCCAGGTGGTGTACAGTACAACAGCGGCTGAAGCAGTCACTCATGCGGTATCCCCTGAGAAGGAGCCGCAACCAGACGTGCTCTCAACCCGCTTCGGTTCAGTTGCTTGATCCAGAGCTGCCAGTGTTTGCTTGTCCTTTGGCATAAACGGTAACATTGTACATGAAGTGCCTTCTCACCACCACCACCCCCCACTCAACTCTCCCACTCCCCCTCCCTGCCTGCGATGCACTTTGTGCCTTGGCTGTAAATAGCCCGCACGCAGAACCCCAGTCTGCCAAAAAAAATAAACTGACTGCAGAGATCTGAAACCTGTCCTGAGTGAGCAGCAGTTTTAACTATTTTCTGTGTACAGAGTTCAGGCTGTCTGTCTGCTGCTCGTGTTCTGTAACCTGTCGACAAATCAGATGCAGTTTTCCTCTAGCTCACACCCACACGAGCGACAGAGAGAGATGAAGTCATCTCTGTCCAACCCTAATCACCCTTTAGCTTCTACAATTAGTAACCACTGACTTCCTATAAAGTCTGCCGAAGCCGAAGTCACTGAGCCCGCCATAAAGCAACGCTGAATGGGGTGATAATACAGTGTAATATTTATTCAGTGTGTACAATCAAGCAATGTACCTTCTCAACATGGGTGCCCATACAGCATTGTTAAGCACTTTGAGACGTCTTTCCGAATGTAAAAGGTGCTATGTAAATGTTAAACGTCCCCCGCCTTGCCTGCCCCACCATTGGCGGGCGGGCCTTCAGCCTCTCTTGCCCCCCCCACCTCTGGAACTTCATCCCACAGTCTCACCGCCTTGCCCCTCCCTTGCCTCCTTCAAAACCTGTCTCAAGACCCTCCTCTTCGACTATGCCTTCAGTCATCTTTCTACCCCAACTGGCCTAGTGCGCACCAATGCCTTTACATTTCACTCACAAAATACAGTCAATTCACTTTACAATACGACACTTCCAAACTCTGGATTTAGCAAATGTCAGACCAAGTTCCGAAAGAAAAATCAGTGTCCCGGAGGTGAAGAGCTGAGCGCTGGCATTCCTGTCAGGCTGAGGTCAGCGGGCTGACACGAGAGGAAAACCAACACCATGTACACCAGTATCCAAACCAGATTGAGAGTTCCATGTATGTATACCGCCTGACTTGGAAACTTCTATGCCCGGAATGGAATGCACATGCTCTCCTTCACGCTTACCTAACTCCAGAGAGCCTTAGGCACAGGTTGGCAAGAGGCAAGGCGTGAGGACCCCAGAGTGTGCTTTAGGGTACTGATGGAGTTTAACCAGCTAAAACCACATAGCTTGCCACTGAGAGCACTGTGTGGTGCTGCCCACTCCCTCCACCTAACCCACCCCGCCGGCCAAGAATAGTCACTGAGACCTTTGGACTCTAAAGATAAACAAACAACCTTCCAGCGTTCCATATTCCAGGTTCCTGAATATAAATTATACTTCCCCTACAAAGTCTCACAGAATGAGATGAACTATATTCATATTCAACTGCAGTAGAAATTGATTTGGCTTCAAAGTATTTCTTTTTGTATAAAAAAGCAATCCTGTCATCTCCTGCTGTGTTATTGTCAGCAGCAATCAGCCAGGGTGTGCTCTCGGCCCGGGCTACTTTTCCAATACAAAAGATGCACGTTTACTCTCAGCTGGAGACCGCCCCCTGCAATTACCCACTTCCCATCAGAATGTGAGTGTAGAAAAATGGCCCAGGGCCGAGCTTGTGGGACATCTTTCTCTTCATTATCCAATAAATAGGTGCCCAATTGTAAGGAAATCACAAGGCTGCTGAAGTCAATGCTCCGATTCGTACAAGCTTTTAAATTTGAGAAGTTTACATTTATAGGGATGCATATTTCCAAATGGTTATCCTATGTAAAGTCCAACATTAAATGCAAATGCAAGTTGCTTTTATTATTGGTTACTAGTCTAGATAATGCATTTATTTATACATTGGAATTGTCATCGTAAACACACTGGCAACATTTACCAGCCAGCAGAATCTCCCCTAACAGATTGTACAGCATTAATGGTATTACTACATACAGCTCCTGTACTAACAAGTAGAGTGAGTTGGTCATCCAGCTGATTCCAGATTGATCAAAACTGTTTTTTAATAGAGGTTAGACACCAGAGGTCATCTATTCTGAGCCTGTTATTATGATCATTTTATCTTTTAACATTTATGTGCAGTATTTGCAATTGTGAAAAATTCTTAAATCCAGTCTAAATTTGGAAGTTGCGTTTCCACAGTTTTTTAAAGCACCCGGAGTCCAAATTAAGAACAAATTGGAAGATTTCCACAATTCTGCACAATCTTGAATTTTAGGGCAAAATTGTCTTACAGGCTAAGACCAGGTAGAATTTCAGGATCTGAAGGCAATCTATTAGCATACAAGTCTGTGTTTTATTGTGGTTTTAAATGAGTTTAAATTACAGGATTCAAAAATCACATTTCAGAGCTTAATCCATTTTCATTGTAGATGAATGTCTTTATGCTCTTGCTAGCTCTACCATCAACATGCTGCAGCACAGTGACTTATCTGATGCTGGAGTTAAATTGGCTTCTCTTTCCCACAACCATATCTTTCTGTTGACATATCAGGCTAGTGACGTTGCATCAATACTCTTATCTTCAAAGCAGCATCAACAGCGGTGAAAACACTCATCAATCAACACTGGCTTATATCTAGCTTGTATCTAGCATGCCCAGACAGAAGGGGACACAAAAGTTTAACCCTACTTCTATATCGCTGTGACACTGCCAGCTGTTGCACTTACAGAAATAATGTTTAATGCCATTAAAGATGGCAGATGCCTAGCATTATTTTACAATTAAAAAGATTTGTATGGCAATAATAATAATCCTTGCATTTGATATAGCGCCTTATCATGTTGTCGCGATGCCTCAAACAATTCACAGGATACAGTAAAGTGGAGTGACAGTGTATTTTGTGCGAGTACACAATAGCCAGTTGTGCACAGCAATGTCCCACAAACAGCCATGGAGTTTATTTGGGGGATTGTTGACCAAGATACCGGGAGAAACTTCCTTCTCTTTTCAAATAGTCAATAAAACACCCCCCCCCCAGCACTGCATTGGAATGTCATCTCAGATTACATGAGTTCATGTACCAACGTGGGATTTGAACCCACAAGCGTTCTGATGAGAGTCCTAGCACTGAGCCAAGCTGACACACAGCTGCAACTTGTATTTGCAAAAACCCTACAATGATAGCCTTTAAAAAGTATCTTAAAAGGGTAATTTTCATTGTCCACTGTAGTTACTCGTGAAACAGTTTGAAACATTTCAATGTTTCAAGTGCTATATCACATGCAAGGATTTGATTAGTAAAGCAGACTAGTGCCTTACATCACAAGATGAGACTTGTTGCGACTTCTCTATACTTGTTCATATTCTTTGGGGCAAACAAATCCAAAAGATCCAGCTCCCTCTGGCACCTCACCGATGTATGTGGCTGTTCTTCATGTGTTTGCCTGGATAGGAAGTGTCAGCAGGCATTTCAACTGAGGCTCACATTATCAGTGCAGAGGAGTGCAGTGTTATGGGTCAAGCCCTGATTACATCATATCAGCACTCAGGAGGCAGCCGTAGGGCTTTGAAAAGGTCTACAGAAAAACAGTAGTCAAGAGAAAACACTGCCCTCCATTGTAAATCAAAATATCAGTCTCAAGAGCCAGACACATGACCAAAAAGGTTAATTTAAAAGGAGCACATTCCTCTGGACTAAGGACATTTTTACAGAAAACCATTTGTGAGTGTTTCCTTGATCTGATCTTAAGATTAAACCAACATAAAATATAGATAACCAGAAGCTGCCTCTACAAATGATAATTATTACCATATTTGCAAACACTTCTAACCCCACTTAGGTAAGAATTCCGACCATTATTTCCCTGCTCAGTCTCTCCTACCTAAATAAACTTTCAGGTTATAAATTACTTAATCTCTCTTAAACCTTTACAAATCATTTCTCTAATACTTCATTTTTCTTGCTAAATTCAAATGATAAATTTGGTTTGTCAAAGCTTTTTGGTTTGCGATCAGTTTTCTTTTCTCATTTCTCTGTCACAAGGCAGTAGGTTCAAGGAGTGGAACACAAATTACAAATCAGAGGCTGGAAATGTCTCATCGTCTCCTCGCCTTGAATTCTAAAATTTAGCCTTAATTTGGAAGCTGAAATAACTGTGGACAAATAGCCTCCAAATTAAGACAATTTAATGTTTTTCCACAATTCATCACAATCTTACATTTTAAAACCATAATATAATAATAGCACCTCATCACCTTGCTGAGACTGATAACACATATCTGTAGTCTGCCTGGTTATGATGGCTGAAATATCTTCAGTTGCATTCCCTGCTGAGAGGCTAGAATTAGGGCACCGTTGTGCACAATTGGCTGCTGCATTTCAGGCCAAAGAATGTACAGTCAATTCACTGTACAGTATATTCCACAAGCACTTGGAGACATCTTGATGACTTGATAAGGCACTATATCAAATGCAAGGTTATTATTATTATTAAATCTTTGCTCCAAAACCTCCCAACAATCCCCCATTTATAATTCCCTGTCCTTATATTTTCTCCGCCTGATCTTCTGAAGGCACCGACTCTTGATACGATGTAGTTCCAAGGAAACCTGGAGCCCTCTGATGTTGTGACATGCTTCATGTGCAAACCTAGACAGTGAGTGTCAACCCAGAGTGTCAAGCCAGATTATGAGCGTCAGCAGACAACTTCACTGCAGAAGGTTGGACAATCAACTGTGATCATGTCTTCAAGAACATGCAGGCAGTAGGGGGGTGTCGCTCAATATTGAGCACCCAGGCTAAGACCAGCTAACGCAGCACAAAACAACAACAACAACAACAAAATTACATTTATAGAGAACCTTTCACATCGGGAGGACGTCCCAAGGCGCTGTAATTAAACCTGGCGCCTCATAGCTCAGTTTCAAACCTTACCAACTGACCTCGCCGTCAGGGAAGCTGATGGAAGACTCTTATTACTACGAGCAGTTTGGATAATCCAAACCAGCTGCTCTGTGTGTAACCAGGGGGTTTCAACGTTACAGAAAATAAACTTTTGATCCGATAGCTTATTTGAAAGGGAGCCCTTCTCCTCCTTTACCTTCAATAATTCTTTTCTGAACAATTTGGATTTTTTGTTTTGATGTTAAATCAGATCTGAAGTTTCGTATCTTCACAAGGAGATTCAGGTGGATCAGATTGTTATTTCCTGCTGTTACTGACAGACCCACATAATCACACTCAGCTCCAGTCAG